GAACTCAATACCAAAATGATCTCTCAAAACCACACAATTAAATTAAACAACTTGGAAATTAAACAACTTGCTTCTGAATAACTTTTGGATAAACAACAAAATTAAGACAGAAATAAAAAACTTCATTGAAATAAATGAAAACAGAGATGTATCATGCCAAAATATTTGGGATGCTGCAAAAGCCGAGTTAAGAGGAAAGTTTATAGTGCTAAATGTCTACCTTAAAAAGTTAGAAAAATCTCAGATTAACAATCTAACATCAAAACTAGAGGAACTAGAAAAACAAGAACGAATTAACCCCAAAGCTAGCAGAAGAAAAGAAATAACTAAAATTAAAGTGAAAATGAAACTGAGACTCAAAAATCCATACAAGGAATCAATGAAATCAAAAGTTAGATATCTGAAAGGATAAACAAGATTGATAGGCTGCTAGCTAGATTAACAGCCTGCCTCTCTCTCTCTCTGAGAAAGATCCAAATAAGTATAACCAGAAATGACAACGGGACATTACAACCCATCCTACACAAATACAAAAGATCCTCAGAGACTACTATGAAAAACTGCACACAAACTACAAAATCTAGAGAAAAGGGTTAAATTCCTGGAAACATGCAGTCTCCCAAGATTGAATAAGGAAGAAATTGAAGCTGTGAACAGACCAATATCAGTTCCGAAACTGAATGAGTAATAATAATAATAATAAAAAAACCTACCAACCAAAAAAAGCCTTTGACCAGACAAATTTACAGCTGAATTCTACCAGATGTACAAAGATGAGCTGGTACCATTCCTACTGAAAGTATTCCAAAAAACTGAGGAAGAGGCACTCCTCCTCAACTCATTCTATGAAGTCAGCCTCCACCTGATTCCGAAACTTAGCAAAGATATAATAACAACAACAACAAACTATAGGCCAATATCCCTGATGAACATAAATGCAAAAATCCCCAACAAAATTACTAGCAAACTAAATACAGAAGCATATCAAAAGTTAATTCATGATAATTAAGTAGGCTTCATTCTTGAGATGCAAGGTTTTTAAACCTATGCAAATCAGCAAATGTGATTCACCACCTAAACGGAATTAAAAATAAAAACCATATGACTAACTCAATAGACACAGAAAAAGCTTTTGGTAAAATTAGACATCCTTTCATTATAAAAATCCTCAAGAAACTAGGCATCGAAGGAAAATACCTCAAAACAGTGAGAGCCACTATGACAAAACCATATTCAACATCATACTGAATAGGCAAAACCTGGAAGCATTCCCCTGAGAACTGGAACAAGTCAAGGATGCCTATTCTCACCACTCCTGTTCAATACAGTATTGGAAGTCCTTGCCAGAGCAATCAGGCAAGAGAAAGAAAAGACATCTAAATAGGAAAAGAAGAGTGAAACTATTATCTCTTTGCTGATGATACAATTCTACAACTAGAAAATCCTAAAGTCTCTGCCAAAAGGTTCCTGGAACTGACAACAGACTTCAGCAAAGTTTCGGTATATAAAATCGATGAGCAAAAATCAGCAGTATTTCTATACACCATAACATTCAAGCTGAGCACCAAATCAAGACTACAATCCCATTTATAATAGATGCAAAAATAAAAATAAGAATAAAAAAACTAGGAATATATCTAACCAAGGAGCTGAAAGAGCTCTACAAGAACTGCAAAACACTGCTGAAAGAAATCACAGGTGATACAAATAAATGAAAACACATTCCATGCTCCTGGATAAAAAGAATCAATATTGCTAAAAAGGTCATACTGCCCAAAGCAATCTATAGATTCAATACTACTCCTATTGAGCTACCAATGTCATTTTTTAATAGAACTAGAAAAAGGTATTCTAAAGTTCATAGGGAATAACAACAACAAAAGAGCCCAAATAGCCAAAGCAATTCTCAGCAAAATCAACAAAGCTGGAGGCATCACATTACTTGACGTCGAACTACATTATAAGGTGATGGTAACCAAAAGAACATGGTACTGGTACAAAAACAGACACATAGACCAATGGAACAGAACAGACAGCCAAAAAGTAAAGTCACACACCCACACCAATTCGTTGACAAAGTTGGCAACAATAAACAATGCGGAAAGGACTTCCTATTCAATAAATGGTGCTGAGAAAGCTGTCTAGCCATGTGCGGAAAAATGAAACTGAACCCCTACCTTTCACCATATACAAAAATTAACTCAATATGGATTGAAGATTTAAATGTAAGACCTCAAACTCTTAAGAATCCTATAAGAAAACCTAGGAAACACCATTCTGGATATCAGCTTTGGGCAAGAATTTATCACTAAGTCCACAAAAGCAAATGAAACAAAAACAAAAATTGACAAGTGGGACCTAATTAAACCGAAGAGCTTCTGCACAACAAAAGAACTGTTAACAGAGTACGCAGAAAATCTACAGAATGGGAGAAGACATTTGTAAACTATGCATCCAACAAAGGTCTAATATCCAGAATCTATGAACTTAAATAAATCAACATGTAAAAAATATGTAAAAAAAAAATGTAAAAAAACCCATTACAAATGGAAAAAAGATATAAACAGATACTTCTCAAAAGAAACTACACAAGCAGCCAATGAACATATGAAAAAATATTCCAAATCACTAATCACAGAAATGCAAATCAAAACCACAACGAGAGATCATCTCACACCAGTCTGAATGGCTATTACTAAAAAGTCAAAAAACAACAGGTGCTGGCAAGGCTGTGGAGAAATGGGAATGCTTATCATACATTGTTGATGGAAATGTACGTTAGTTCAGACCCTGTGGAAAGCAGTTTGGAGATTTCTCAAAGAACTTAAAACAGAACTCCCATTTGACTAAGCAATCTCATTAGTGGGTATATATGCAAAAGAAAATAAGCCATTCTACAAAAAGACACATGCACTCCCATGTTCACTGCAGCATTATTCACAATAGCAGAGACATGAAATCAACTTAGGTGCCCAGCAACAGTGGACTGGATAAAGAAAATGTGGCACATATACACCATGGGACACAATGCAGCCATAAAAAGGAACAAAATCATGTTATTTGCAGCAACATGGATGCAGCTGAAGGCTGTTATCCTAAGTGAGTTAGTGCAGAAACAAAAAACCAAATGCCACATGTTCTCACTTATAAGTGGGAGCTAAACAATGGGTATTCACCGACATAAAGATGGCAATAATAGACACTGGGGACTACTAGGTGGGGAGGCACAAAGAGGGTGCGAGTTGGAAAAAAAACTATTGGGTACTATACTCCGTTCCCTGGGTGACAGGATCCACTGTATTCCAAACCTTAGCATCATGCAATATATGCGGGTAACAAATCTGCACATGGTACCCCCTAAACATGAAGTAAAAGTTGAATTTTTTTTTTTTGACAGAGTCTCAGTCTGTTACCCAGGCTGGAGTGTAGTGGCATGATCTCGGCTCACTGCAGCTTCCACCTCCCGTGTTTACGTGATTCTCCTGCCTCAGCCTTCTGAGTAGCTGGGAGTACAGGCATGCATCACCAAACTCGGCTTTTTTTTCTTTTTTTTTTTTTTCGTAGAGATGGGGTTTTGCCATGTTGGCCAAGTTGGTCTTCAACTTCTGGTCTGAAGTGACCCACCTGCCTTGGCCTCCCAAAGTGCTGGGATTGCAGGTGTGAGCCACCATGCCCAGACTGAAATTACTTTTCTACCAAAGAAAAATATTTGCTAACTTATTTGTCGTGATGAGTATAAATGTACACTGCATAGTAGTTCTAGCTGCAGAGGACCACGGGTCATCAGTTCTTTAGACAACATGGCCAATTGGTTTGGCTAAAAAGCATGTTTAGAACTGTTTTCTTGCTGAAAATATCTTGTCTTAAAACAGTAACACTTACTGAATGTTTTTGCTAAAATTGAATGTTTCAAATAAATCAAACTTTTGCCTCTAAGTGCCAACCCATTTTGAAGGCTTCTCAAACAGAGCAATACTAATTTCTCTGCCTTCTTAACCAAATCATACAGAATATAGGGTAGATTTCGTTGATGATCTAAGGTCATTTTTTAAAACCACAATTACCATTCACGGTTAGTCCTCAGAGCCTGTGTGTCCCTACTCTAAATGATACCAGATTAAAGTCTTTTTTAAGTTTTTCTTTTTTGATATCAAGTTGCTCATTATTGCTTGTTATGGTAAACCATGCTTGCTTTTACCAGTTTTCCTCTTCTCTTTTGTCTGTTATTTTTAATCTGTTGGTGAAAATTGTTTAGAATTATACTCAAAATAAAGCAGCCTCTAACTGGGGACTTGAGAAACTCCCACAAGTATAGTTTTGGTGATAGAATCTATTAAAATGTACTTAGGTTTCTTCAAGCTTTATTTCAGATTGCAGACCATTTCAGTGATACTGTTAATGGGAGTAACAATCATGGCTCATGTTGACTATCAGCTATAGCCTTTGACCTGTTTTCTTGCTTTGACTCATACCTCTGCACAAATTATCCAGAGTGATTCCTTAAAAATGTAAATCTGATCATGTCACATCTCTGCTTAAAATCTTCCTCTGGCCTCCTCAGACCTGGAATAAATTCAGGTATTGTCCCCTTGGCTTGCATGACCTCACCTCGCCTACCTCATTTCCAGTCTCTTTCTGGTTCACTGGGATTTTTTGCGGTTCCTCAAAGAGGTAACAGACTCTCATCTCAGAGATCGGGCGCCAGCCATTTCCTTATCCTAGCACCCCTTTTCTGCTTGGCTTTCTCCCTGTTTCCTTCAGATTTCTTTTTAAATTTCACCTCAGAGAGGCATTCCACAAGCACACAATTCAATACAGCAACCCCTTTCACTCCCCATTTCTCAGCCTATTTTCTTCAGAGTACTGCTAACATTTGAAATTACCTTTATCATCCCTCTAAGAATGTAAACCCCACGACAGCAGGGGTTTTGTGGTATTCATGAAGGCATTCCCTGAGTACAGAAAAAGAATGTTGGCAAGGGCTCAACAGATATTTTTTGAGAGAATGCTTTATTTAATTCCCATTAGAATTCTAAGAGGTAGATATCACTGAATGTCCATTTCATAGGTGAACAAATTGAATCTTAAAGAAGTTAAATAAACTTGTCCCAAATCCAGTCACTAAATACTGAAAGCAGGGGAGCTGAGAGCAAAGTAGTAGGACATACCTTATGTGAGCTCTGATGGATATCTGAGTAATTTAGATATGATCACTGAAGTCGCTTGGGTACTTTAAATACAAAAGTAGCAAGCTTGATTTGAGAGCAAGCGCATGGGAGAGAAAACAAAAATGTTAAGCGTAAATGTTTTTATTTTCCCAAGGAAGAACATTTGTAACCGATGGTTACCTACTTGAGGCTAACATGGAAACATATCATGTTGCTAAATCCCACCCAGTTTTCCTAAAGCTTGAGCCTGGAGGCTGCTGGGGAGTAGAAACAGTTGCACCAGAGGTAGAGCAACTCTTCTGGCAGTGTCCAAAGAGGCAGAGACTGAATAGAGTTCCTGGGGGCTGACATAGCAACTTGGCCAGGAAGTCTGGTATCTGCAGTGGGGCAGAGATACTCAAGAGACACCTGGGTGTGTCAGCCAGTCATAAATCTATTGTTTATAAACTGAACACTACCTGGCATTAGTGTGTTGTTTGTTAAGCGTACTATATGCAAGAAAAAAAAAAAAAAAGGAAACTATAAAGGAAAAAATGGACAGTATTAGATGTGGTACACACCAAGATATGCCACCCAGCTCCTTCTGCAAGGATGGACATAGTGCCCAGCTATGGAGTGTGGTCAGTGGACTGCCTCCAGCTGCTGGATATGCTTCCGCGACAGAGCTGCCATGCTTGAGATCACAACCTTCCCAGAGCTGCCCACACCCAGTGACTGATAGAAGTGTAGGTAAAAAGGCCTATTTACTTTGGCCTAATTTAAACATTCTGACAGATGACACTAGCTCAGAGCTCCCCTCTGGGTTGGCCAACTCTTTTCAGGCCTGCTTTAGAGCACTCCCATTTCTTCTGCCTATTCCTGCTTCTTTGCTCTTTCCCTTCACAGGCATGCATCCCTGAGAGTTATACATAAAAATCTCTTGTACTTCAAACCGCTTTCAGTGCCAGCTTCTGCAGAACCCTATCTGTGACCTTAGGTTTATTCAGCTAATAAAACGTTTCTATTGCTACACTAGAACTAAAAGGCTCTGGCTATCTAGTGATGAACAAAACAGTCATGGTCTCTGAACTCACGGGGATTATCACCTACTAGAGGTAGCAGATGTTAAATAAAAATGAAAAATAATAAAAATCTATTTTCACTAAGTGTCATTAGGGTCTATGGAAAAAAATACCGCCCCCCTAATACTCACAAGTCTATCAGCTAGCATATATGTGAAGTACTGTTTTCATGTTAAGATTTTGACAATATGGATAACAACCACTTAGAAGTTACTCTATCAAAATAATATAACAAAATTGTTGATATAACAAAATTTTGTTGACTTTATTTAATCCTTTCAAATCTGCAATGTTGAGGAATCATCCAGTTACTTATGAATGTCCTTATCAAACTAGATCACTGGTAAAATGAGACTGCATGTAGACTTTTGAAATGAGTAAGGCAAATGTAGACTCTTAACTAGTAGAGATCTATCCGCCAGCATCCACTCTTCTAAGAACACCTCAGTTTCCTGTGGTGAACAGCCTCCTCCAGGACTCCTTTAGGTTCATGTGGTATATGGGAGGAGTGTCACCTACATTTAAGTAACCAGGAACAGTATTTTCCATCCCCTAGCTATGGTGGTTGGTTCAGGAATGTGCACATAATCCAAGGCAGACCAGTAACAGTGAGCTCCTGGACTTTAGCGGGAACTATTAGGCAAGAGTATCTCATGCCAGTGGGATCAGAAAACTAGCAGAATATAAGCCTTGAGTTTCTAGCGGCCATCATTCTGTGTGAGAATGAAACTGACTCAGAATAATACTGACAACAGCAAAGGAAAGCACTACTATTATATCCTATTTAGTATGTGTCAGATATTGTTTTAAGAGTTTTATTTACACTAAACATGTAATCCTTACAATGTACAGATGTGCAGAGATGTGGCACATTGCCCTAGGTTATACACAAGTGGGATTTGAATCCTAGCAGGATCTGTGTCCCTCATGCCATGTAGACGCATCATAAAAATGAGAGCCAAGGGCTAAAGCCTGTCTCAAAGAGAACCATCTGAGCACCTACATCCAGACTGGGCCTGCAGTGTGCAGCTGGACTCTTCACTTAATGAACTCAGATTCATCATTGCATTATTCACAACAGAAAGTGAAAAGAACCTAAATACTCTATGACGGTGGTTAAATAATAATAGGAATAGGAATACGATGGCATATGCATAGCCTTTCGAAAATATATTATGGCCGGGTGCAGTGGCTCATGCCTATAATCCCACAACTTTGGGAGGCCAGGGTAGCAGGACTGCTTGAGCCCAGAAGTTCAAGACCAGCCTGGGCAACAAAGTGAGACCTCATCTCTAAAAAAAATTAGCCAGGCATGGTGGCATGGGCCTGTGGTCCCAGCAACTTGGGAGGCTTAGATGGGAGGATCACTTGAGGCCCAGGAGGGAAAGGCTGCAGTTAGCCATGATTGCACCACTGCACTCCAACCTGGGTGACTGGGTGAGGCCCTTTCTCACCAAAGAAAAAAAAAAAAAGACGTTTGTATATATTTTTATTTTTTTAGAAACGACCTCAAACTCCTGGGCTCTGCCTCCCTAAATAGGGAGCCTGAGATTACAGGCATGAGCCATTGTGTTCAGCCCTAAAATATTTTTGAAGAATATTTATGCATACGAAAAAATGCTATTTTTCAAAAATAACAAAATTGCATATTCATTGTAATAATTTTGTAGATAAGAAATGTATGTGCAACAAATCTACAAATATAGCAAAATATAGTGATGATCTCTCTCAAAAAATTGTGGGAGAGTTGATTTTATATTTTTTCCTGAATTGTTGATGTTTTCTACAATAATGTTTTAAAATTACAGGAGGCAAAAGAAGGAAAACTCTTAAGATGTAAAATACTCTTAACTCAAACTACAAAACTTCTTCGGTATCTTACACTAAATTGAATCTAAATCAAACTTACAGTTCATTCAATCACAGAATGTAAACTCCACGAAGGTAACTTTCTTTTTCCTGCTTAATGTAGTGTTGTGCCTCCAATGGCTACGTCAGTACCTGGCACCTGAGTGCTTTTCAATGAAAGATGAAGAGAAAAATGAACTGGCAGTGTATTTCCACCATACTAGCAAGACATTTATTTAAAAACATTTAAAACCTGTTTTTTAAAAAAATTCTAGTTAAGACTTGAAATAATTCAATGTTCAACCTAATAATTCTATACAATTTTAAGAGTCTAAATTTAAGTTAAAAAATGCAGAGAAAAGGAGTGAATGATACAGAATTATCTTGATATGCGCTGCTGTATTATTACCATGCTAAAGGCCTCTTTTGTTTCAATAAAACTATCAATATTTACTGAGAATGAGAGCTCTGAATCAAAGGCAAGAGAAAGAGACCTGTAAATAGTGCTGTTCGTACTAGTTGCCCCCAGTTGTTCCCAGGCCTCACTTCCAAGTTGCCTTAAGTAATTTTTGCTTTCTGAATATAAAGCCAACTGTGGAGGGGTCAGACAGCTGAGGACTGAACTTCTTAAAAACTGGCTTCGGAGAACAGCGTAACATTACAACTGAGGTGGCCGGGCACTGGCTCACGCCTGTAATCCCAACACTTTGGGAGGCCGAGGTGGATAGACCATAAAGTCAGGAGTCGAGACCATCCTGGCTAACACGGTGAAACTAAAAACACAAAAATTAGCTGGGCATCGTGACACGCACCTGTAGTCCCAGCTACTCGGGAGGCTGAGGCAGAAGAATTGCTTGAACCTGGGAGGCGGAGGTTGCAGTGAGCAGAGATTGCGCCACTGCACTCCAGCCTGGGTGATAGAGCGCGACACCGTCTCAAAAAAAAAAAAAAAAAAAATTACAACTGAGAACTGAGGCATCAGGTCTTAAGGTTTAAAACAACAGTCTTATAGTTGTCACATTATCATATTATGTCATCTCTGAAAATAAATGCACACTCATCCCAGAGTCTCCAAAATCTTTATCTTTAGAATCCAACCTCGTTTTAAGAAGTAGTAAAATGAAGGAGCATTGTTAGTAGTCACCTGACAAAAGTTGTCCACTATTCTTGACATTAAAAATTGAATGCAATGATTTAAATAACATTTCCATAATATATTTAGAATCACATGGTTTCTAGTGATTAGAATTTAGTCATGACTGGAAAGGAGCAGAAGACAATGGCTAGGCAGCACATTCCTTATAAAGGATACATAAATCGTTTACTTAGGATGACTAACATTCAGAATTTAAACACGGTGCATTTTTTTCCTCAGAGGAAGCAATTTTAGTTTCTAAAGAGCATTTACTTCTGACATCTCAATTCCTGATTTCAGTGGCTGCAGACTGTGCACTTCTGTGCCACACTTAGGACAAGTAAAGTACATGTCAAATAAGAAACTACTCTTAGCACAGAAATAACAGAAAATATGCTCACATCCTATGGTGTGAGGCATGGTGGGCCACTCTCCACAAAGAGAGCATTCTTTGCCACTAGTGGCTAATGTATTGTCACTATTAGGTGCACCAGTAAGAGGGATACACCATGAAGACAGCTTGGCTTTCAACTTCTGGACACTGATAAGTGGTAAGAGAAAAATCAGAAATTCAGCAAAACCATGCCAGAGAAGTTCCCTATTCATGTATTCAAAGCCAACTTCACGTATGTTTTGAGGCTTGCAAAATACAGAATGAATGCCTAGGAGACGTTCTGTCAAAGTTGCAAACTTTCCCCTCTGAAGGAAAATCAAAAAATTAATCAGTCCACCTAATTTCAAAAGTCCAACCACAAAATTCACACACTGCTTGACTTTCCCAAATGATGCTAAATGATGGTTTCGAAACAAATCATAGCATCGTTCTTCTAACCACCTCCCACCAATTGTACAAACAGCATACCAGATTTTTTGATTTTTACTGGGTGGCTGATATCTCAGGTTAGGGGAAAAATCATTTTTGTACTGAATATTCAAAACTGACTGTCCCACTGTGGCATTTTTGGAGTAGATGGTGAATCTCCACAAGAAAAGCCATAAGCACGCTTTCACCTCTGGCTCAAAGCGAGCTAATAGCCCAGGTTTAAATCCATGAAAGCACTGAGTAAACTGGGACCAAACTAGCTGCTCCAGGGCCTTGTTTAGTTCAAGCGCATCCAACTGGCTTATTCTTAGCACTCTGTTTGCACTCTTTGCATTCTCTTTTCTGGAAGCCATGTCTTCTCTGAAGGTCTCTAGGAAAAAATACAATTGAAGAACATTAACAAAGAGTTGCAATCTTGTACAACCCCCTCAACTTATGCCCGGAAACTGTCATACACAAATTACACAGGATACATAAGAGATGAGCCTTTCAGTAGTCTAAAACAGTACAGCGGATAATCACTTCTTACTTGAAACTTCTGTCTCGTCTCTCAGAGCCTTTCTTTCTCCCCCTGCCTTTTTTTTATTAATTTCTTTTTCTTTTTTCTTGGCCCTCCTCATCAAAGAAATAACAAAACAAAACAAAACAAAACCTGTACCCTCTTTCCACAAATATACTTCTAAGCAATACTCTTTGGTCAGATATTCTAGCAGGGAGATACTAAAATCCTGAAGTTAACAGAAAGGAGGCTGAATAACATGACTAATGAAGAGACATTGGAAGGTAATAAATACAACTACTATATAGAACATTGCAATAGATGGTTAAGACAAGACCTCCGTTTATTTTCCAGCACTTCTACTGACTCCAAAGGTGTTATTTTTCAGCAAGTCATTTAATCTTTCTCAAATACATTTTCTATGTGTAAAGGAAGTTAAAAAGAAAAATAAAAGAACAATACATGGTTACTATTCTATCACACTATTGCAGAAAATAAATAGTACTAAATCTTAGTATGAGGGAACAAGAATGCAGAAATATCATTATTAACGTACTAAAAACGTATACATCATACAGTACTCTAAGAAAGCTATGATATAAAAATATATACCACAATAATGTCATAAATACACTAAGGAAACAAATTGGTGCTAAAGGCAAAAAAACTTAAATGAAATGTAAGAGCTGATTAATGGTTAGCTAGGTACAGCTTACTGATTCGATACACATATATTACTGATTCAATACACATATACGTATTATGTGCAAGCTGATATAATTAAAACACCAAGTCACTGCTATAATCCAGTATACAGACCAGTTCAGATACTTTAAATATTATTAACTGGCAAATCCACCCATGACCAAAAAAAAAATACATCATTACATTGCACACTTTGAATATATACCATTTTTACTTGCCAATTATACTCCAATAAAGCTAGAAAAAAAAAAAAAAACACAAAAAAATTAAAATGGGCTATCACCACACTGGGCTTGGTTATCATGTCTAGGCCTTTAAAAGGCCAATACACTAACAGAAAGAACAGTTATTGAAGGAGGCATGGATCCTGCCAGAGCTCACTGCCACGCTCTGGTCATGTATTCTTCGACAAGTCATTTCCCCGACCCTGACCTATGCCTTGGTTTCTTCACTGATAAAACAAAGGGCTGGAGATAAAACAACCTTCAAAGTCTTTTCACATTCTATTCTGTTACGATTTTTAGTAAAAAAATGATAAACACAATTTATTAGAAGGTAAAATAAACGTGTACTTCTTGAAATTGGGAGTATCTTTGACAACCGAAGATGTTTTCAAGAGGGAAGTTCTAAATTTACCCATGCATCCTAGAAGACTTAGTGGCAGAAGACTACATGTTTAATAAGTTCAAGTCCAGGAAATAAAAGTGATCATTGAATAACAGGTTGTTTGGTGCTATTTTTCTCTCAAACCAGATACACAACAGGAATGCTTCTCACCATAAATGCCAATGATCTTCTGGGCAGATCTCACCATTTTCCCGTTCCTGCAGCTCCCTCAAGACTGGACAGCCTATAGCTATGGCAGTGGGAATTTTTGCTCCAAGTTCTTCTGTGAAACCCTTGCCTCATACTTGCCAGAAGCTACACACAAAAAAGAATAAAGTTAGAAAGGTAGTTCCCTTTCCTCACTCTACAAATCAAATCCATTGCCAAGGACTGTTGATACGTGGTCCAAAATTTTTCCTAATCCATCTGTCACTCCCTATCCCCCGCAAACCTTTTCCTGAATTCTGGCTGCTCTCCTCTCTCATGGATTCCAACAAACTGGTCTACCTTACCTTCTGCCTCCTTCAGTGCATTCCCCACAATGCCAATGCTCTAAAACACAAACCTCCCCAAATCCACTCCCAGCTTGCTTTCCTTCTTTATGCATCATATCCAGTCAAAAAGTACCCCCTTCTTTTGTTCACCAGTAGACTTCACTGTCCTTTCCCTTTGTGTGGAACAGTCTGTTTCCAATCTTTAACTGAAAACTCATACTAAGTTTTTAAGTACTGGCTCAGACATCACTTCCTTCTGACTCCAAATTTGGGTAGCTGCCCATCGAGTTGTTCCCTTGGCACGCTATTCTTTCTCTTTCTTGGCCTCTATCTACTGTACATAAACTACTTATAAATTGTTTATTTCCTCCACTAGAGGATAAGCACTGTTGTAAAGATTATTTGAGCCTTATTACAGTTGAATCAGAACAACTATCTCAGTTCCTGGTACACAGAAGGCACTCTACAAGCACTAGATAAATGAATAAATGAACAGGATGAAAGTCTGTGATGTGTGAAGGATAGAAAATATAAATTCCCATCCATTACACTTTAAAATTATTTCAAATTACCATATCCAGAAAGATGATTATTACTAATTTCACTAATTTCAACATGTTTATTGTGCATCTGTTATTTACCTGTTAATGTGAGAGCTAGTGATATAATGGTACAACAGACACTGTCTCAACCCTTGTGGAGCCTATAGTCTACTGTGGAAAGAGAGGGAAAAGTGAAGGTGTGCTATATAAAATAAACAGGTGATTACAATAAGGTGCGATCAGTGATCTGCAAGGGAAAATTCAGGGCACTATGGTTACAACTATACTTCAGAAGGTCAGATAAGGCTTCCTGGGAGAGGAAATACCTAAGCAGCCACCTGAAGTATTAGCATGTCAGCCTGGTAAAGGAGGGTAAGATTATTATTGCCAATGGTGGGAAGAGTAGGTACTAAGGACTAGAGGTGCACAGATGAGATAAGGCTGGAAAGAAGCAGGAGACAGGTCCTAAAGGCCCTAGAAGCCAAGCTGAGAAGGCTGTATTTTATGAAGAAGGTAATGGGAAGCCCTCAATAGTTGTACGCAAAGAACTAATAAGATTTACATTTTAGACTGTTTGTTCTAACCAACCTGAGGAAAGAATGGATTCGAGGCTGAGAGAAAAGACTGGAAACATAGAGACTAGTTAACAGGTTGTTAAAATGATCTGGTGAGAAACTAATGATGGCCTAAATTAGAAAAGTATCAGTGGGGACAGAGAGAAAAGGGTATCTTTGAAAGCGATGAGGTGGTAGAAGTGACACTATCTGGAGAGAAATAAGCCAAGACAAACTGACTTAAGTAGTTGAGTGATAGAGATCCAAGTCCCTGAAACAAGAAATCCATGAGGCAATACATGTTTGAACAGAAAGATAATAAATACATGCAATGTTAAAGATCTGAGGCTCCTATGAGACATCTAAGTGGAAAAGTTCAGTAGGCAGTTATACAAATATGACAGAAAAAATCTAGGTAGAATTTTAGAAGTCTGATGCCCCTCTGGTAAAACTAATCTATTTTAAATCTACTTGATCTATGTAAGTGCTAAAATCAAGAAGGCAGTGATTCAAAACAAGATAGATCTTGTCTATTTGTAACACATTCAACTTTCTTTGTAACAACATAATCTTATTCTGTTAGTTTTTAACTGCTAACATATATTTGTCTATGATAAAGATACATATATCTCTGGACTTTTAATCCGTCTAAACTGTGGTCTTCACCATCACAGTCCTGTGGTCTCTGTTCCTCTAGTCTAGTGGTTTTCAAACTTGTGAGTTCATCAGAATCACATAAAGCAAACATACCTCAGAGACACTCTAGGTTAGGTTCCAGACCACTGCAATAAAGTAAATATCACAATAAAGTAAGTTACACAACTTTTTTGGTTTTCCAATGCATATAAAACTTACACTTTCACTATACTGCAATCAATTAAGTGTGCAATAGCACTGTGCCTTAAAAACAATGTACATACCTTAATTAAAAATTACTTGATTGCTAAAAAATGCTAACAACCACCTGAGCCCTCAGTGAGTTATAATCTTTTTGATAGTGGAGGGTCCTGCCTTGATGTTAATGCCTGCTGACTGATCAGGGTGATGACTGCTGAAGGCTGGGGTGGTTGTGGCAATATCTTATGACAACAACAAAGTTTGCTGCATGGATTGACTCATTTCATGAAAGATTTCTCTGTAGCATGCGAAGCTTTCTAAAGGATAGCATTTTACCAAGAGTAAACCTTCTTTCAAAATTGCAGTAAATAGTCTCAAACCCTGTCACTGCTTTATCAATTAAGTTTATGGGATATTCTAAATCCTTTGCTATCTTTTCAACAATGTTTACAGCATTTCCCCAAGTGTAGACTCCATCTTAAGAAACCACTTTCTTTGTTTATCCAGAACAAAGGCCTATAACTCCAGACCTTTGGGAGGCCAAGGGAGGATTGCTGGGCAACATAGGGAGACACTGTCTCTACAAAAATTAAAAAAAAAAAAAAAAAAAAGCCAGGCATGCTGGCATGCATCTGTAGTCCTAGCTACTAAGGGGAGGCTGAGGCAGGAGAGCTGCTTGAGCCCAGATTGAGAGGCTGCAGTGAGCTGACTGCTATTGTACACCAGCCTGAGTGACAGAGCATGATCTTCGTTTCAAAAAAAAAAAAAAAAAGAGGGGAAGCAACTCATCGATTCAAGTTCTATTATGAGATTGTAGCAAATCAGTCACATCTTTAGGCTCCACTCTAATTCTAATTCTCTTGCTGTTTCTACCACATCTGTAGTTATTTCCTCCACTGAAGTCTTGAACTCCTCAAAGTCATCCACAATGGTTAGAATCAACTTCTTACAAACTCCTGTTCATGTTGATATGTTGACCTCTCATGAATCATGTTCTTAATGGTACACAGAATGGCGAATCTTTTCCAGAAGGTTTTCAATTTACTTTGCCCAGATCCATCAGAGAAACTGCTATTGGCAACTACAGCCTTATGAAATGTAGTTCTTAAAAAATAATATATAAAAGTCAAAATTACTCCTTGATCCACAGGGTGCAGAATGAATGCTGTAATAGCAGGCATGAAAACATTAATCTCCTTGTACATCTTCGTCAGAGCTCCTGGGTGACTAAGGTGCACATCGATGAGCAGTAATATTTTGAAATACTTTTTTTGAGCAGGTCTCACCTGTGTGCTTAAAATATTCAGTAAACCATGCTGCAAACAGATGTGCTGTCATCCAGGCTTTGGTTTTTTTATTTATAAAGTACAGGCAGAGCAGTTCTAGCGTAATTCTTAAGGGTCTTCGAATTTTTAGAATGGTAAATAAGCACTGGCTTCAACTTAAAAGCCACCAGCTACATTAGCCCCCAACAGGTGAGTCAGTCTGTCCTTTGAAGCTCTGAAGCCACATATTGGCTTCTCCTCTCTAGCTATCAAAGTGTTACATGGCATTTTCTTCCAACATAAGGCCTTTGTCTACCTTGAAAATATATTGTCTAGCCTAGCTACCTTCAGCAATTATTTAGCTAGAGCTTCTGGGTAACTTGCTGCAGCTCTGATGTCAGCATTTGCTGCTTCAGCTTGCATGTTTATATTATAAAAGATGGTTATTTCCTTAAATCTCATGAACCAACCTCTGCTAGCTTCCATCTCTTCTTCTGCAGATTTCTTACCTCTCTGTCTTAAAGAATTGAAGAGAGTTAGGAACTTGCTCTGGATTAGGCTTCGGCTTAAGGGAATTTTGTGGCTGGTTTGATCTTCTATCTAGACCACTAAAACTTTTTCCACATCATCATCAACAAGGCTGTTTACTTTCTTTAATTCATATGTTCCCTAGAGGAGCACTTTTAATTTCCTTCAAGAACTTTTCCTTTGCATTCACAACTTGGCTGTTTGGTATAAGAGGTCTATCTTTTGGCCCCTGTTGGCTTCTGACATGGCTTCCTCACTAAGCTTAATCACTGCTAGATTTTGATTTAAAGTGAGAGATGTACAACCCTTCCTTTCACTTGAACACTTGTTCGAGTGAAAGGGCCATTGTAGGCTTTTGTAGGCTTATTTTAATTGGCCTAATTTCAACACTGTTGTGTCTCAGGGAATAGGCAAGTCGGTCGAACAGTCAGAACACACAATATTTATTAAGTTCACCATCTTATATGGATACCAGTTCTTAGTGTTTAATGAAGGATTCTACCATGTGCCCCAGAATATAAGTTCATCATCTTATATGGAAACAGTTCTTGGTGCCCCAGAATATTTATTAAGTTCACCATCTTATATGGATACCAGTTCTTAGTGTTTAATGAAGGATTCTACCATGTGCCCCAGAATATAAGTTCACCATCTTATATGGAAACAGTTCTTGGTGCCCCAGAATATTTATTAAGTTCACCATCTTATATGGATACAGTTCCTGGTGCCCCAGAACAGTTATAATAGTAATAACAAAGATCACTGATCACAGGTCAACATTACAAATATCATAATAAAAAAAAGTCTGAAATATTGCAAGAATTACAAAAATGTTACACAGAGACACAAAGTTGAGTACATGCTGTTGGAAAAAAATTGTGCAGATAGACTTGATTGACTCAGGTTTGCTACAAAACCTTTAATTTGTAAAAGCAGTATCTGCAAACCAGAAGAAAGCACAGTAAAATATAATGAGGTATGAACTAGGCTATACCAACTAGGCTTGTGTAAGTACACTCTATGATGTTCGCACAATGATGAAATCATCCAACTATGTGTTTCTCAGAATGTACCCTCTTGATAAGTACAGCATAACTGCATCTCTTCCTCAGGTTCCTTAGTGATATTTAGTGAGCAACTGGTCAGAGGGAGTGGTTTCTCAGAAGAATCATATATTTCAAGTCTCTTGTTTTTGGAGGAATCACACTTAAAAACTTTCAGTAAAAATAGGAATTTTTAATGACTGCCAGAAAAGGAGACCTAAACAGTCTTTAACCAATACAATATTTAACAATACTTATTATCAAAAAATTCTTTCTTATCCCTTCTGTTACAGTTTAACATTTTTTTCTTTCTTCTTTTTCTCCCCAGGCCTGGCCTCAGTGTAGATTAGGAACAGCTGGGCTTGCTCTCCTCCCTACATAAGACTCTTTAATAGACCAAAAGACTATTATTAAACTGTTCTTCAGCCTTTGCTCCTCCAGATGAATAATTTCTCTATTTTTTGTTTTAGGTTTTATTTTCCAACATTTTAGTCATTTTTGTGACTTCTTTTAGTTGTAAACATAGAACAGACACTGTCTATTACACATCATAGTTCATTAAAGTGGAATACTTCTCCCAGGCTCTACATTCTTCTTTAGGCATCTGTCATAGAGTGGAAAAAGCAGATTTAAAATCAAACAGGCCTGGGCTCAAGTTCTAGCTCTGCCACTTACTTGCTATGTGATCTTAAAAAAATTCATTAGCCTCGGATTCTTCTCCTAAAAGTTGGAAATAACAGCTACCTCACAAAGTTGTTGAGATTAAACCAGATAATGTTATGAAAGTGGTTTGGAAGCCACAAAGCAGTATTATTTATTACATTATTGTTGCTTTGGCTAGGGATGGGCATGAAAAGTAACAGGCCCCAAACTAATTTTGGCAAATCTCATTTCAAAAAACTGAAACCTTCACTATTAGTCATAGTAATGCCTCAAACAACCTGTATCAAAATATTTTTCCAGGAAATATTGACATCGTTAAGACATAAATTGTGGCAGTTAAACCACGAACATGATGTCACCCTTCTGTGTGCATGTGGGAGGGGCCAGGCAGGAGTGGGCAGAGATATGGTTCAGTGAAACTCATTGTCCACTTAACTTCCACCTTGTCTGAAAGGATATGACACACTGTGGATTGAGAAAAGAGATGGGTTCCCACATGACCTGCTCCCGTGATTATTTAGCCCCATCAACACAGTTGTGCCTGTTATCTTAAAATAAAGAAACCTCATGAATGCACACTTATAATACTTGACGCTAGGGTGCTTTGCTGCACAGAACATGGTACAGGCAGTCCAACACAAGCACACAAACTTGTGTTCATCACCAGCATATTACATTCAGTTCTTCCTGATCGCATGAACTCCCACCCCAACCTCTCTTTCTGGTAGGTACAGCTATTCTAGAATACTCTCTAGAAAAGGGCAGCCAAGGAGTAGAAGAAAATGATGAAATCAAAATAACTAGAAATTCAACTAACCCAATTATGGAATCTTCTTCCCTCTACAGCGGTACAACATTTGTTATAATAGGTATGAAGCACAAATGCCGCAAACGACTTTATATCACATAAAATTACTCCCAATATAGTGTAAGCTGTTTGTGTTTTAGTGAATTCTAATTCTCTGACAAATGGTTACTCAATGTAACCAATATATACTGGACACCTACCAAATACAAGGCATTCTCCTAGGTACCAGAGATTCAATCTAAATATTTAACTGTCAGCTAACGTCTTTTTATTCAAGCATTTTAAAAGACACAGAAAATCAGGACTGGCCATTGATCTCTGAAGTGAAGAATGGATCCCAAAACATAAAAACATTATAAAGAATCACAAAACTTCCCAGGCAGAAAAGAGGAAAATGGTATGTAAGGTAAGGGAACAGGTTGTGTGAAAGCCCAGAAATGTGCAAGCTCCTGACCATAGCCTAGCTGGGACATATGGAGACAGGTTGCAGCATGAGCTTCATCCTTGGTTATTTAAGTCCCGTCAGTGTGGCTACATCTGTTATCTGGAAGCAGACAAGTCATCTGCCATGACCAAGCAGGCCAGCAGGAGAGACTGAAGTGTCAACCTAGCCACATTGTAAAAAGAACCGGTGTTAA